ATATATATATAACACAAAGTTCTCTCTGGCATTTTGGGCCGTTTTGAGTTATTAAGACAATGGGGCCAAAAACTAAATGCTCTATCATAATCGTAATCATTCGGAGTCGTTAAGATATTCAAAGAATTGCATTCGAAAAAGCTTGACATGTGAAACTCACAATTTTTAAAAGTCAAATTTCTCAAAACTAGGTAGGCCTACTGAGCAGATAGAACTTTTTCTAAGGTAACGTCTTTTTGTTGTTGCTGTTGTTGTTGTGATTGTAATTGTTGTTTGTAATGATACTTATTATAATAATAATTACATTTGTACATCGGGTATCCACGCTCTACAGCATGCTCTTTACAGTTTGTGATTATTATTACCCAAGCACACCTCAGAACACTCAGATACATTCTCAGCTTCTTGAGAATCATACAGTGCAAGCTTCGGATTGCACACGCTAAAACATTAACAAGACACTTCAACGATCCATTAAACACAAGAAAGTCTTTTGGGAGGAAGAGAGTGTGTGGAGGTGGATAAATACAGAAAAAGGAAAGAACAATGTAAGAAACACGACAATGTAAAGAAAATGTTATACAATATCTCCCTGTCTGTCTATCTGTCTGTTCGTCTATACCTGTCTGTCTGTCTGTCTTTCTGTCTGTCTATCTATGTACATGTACATGTATCTATCTCATTTCACAATGGCCCAAATCAATTTCTGGGGATTTCCAGATAAATCCGCCATTCGAATAAAGACATGAAGGGACACCTTACAATATGTGGCATCATGGGGAAATCACGCCCTTGTCAAAATAATGAAATCGAAGAAAACAACATTTTCTGCTCGCTACCCGAACTCGAACCAGGAACCTTTGAATGAGAGGCCAACACCTTAACCTCTAGGCCACAGGAGCCCCAAAAGATAACTTTAATATTAAACAAATCAATCAATTCTGTTTTCTGTATTTGAAACTTAGGAAGGCAGACAACATAATTCTATGAAATATGCAAATTCATAATTCTGATTTGTGTATGATTGAAATGTGCGGAAGCATAGACTTTGGTCTGCTGCTGATCAGACGAATGTGCCATTTACTGTTTTAGTAAGAGCTCGACGGTACTTGCAACACTTAGAACAATGTCAGTGCTGAAGATTACAGGTGCGACAAGAGAGTAACATGCAGAACATACACAAAACGTGGGGGGGGGGGGGGGGGGGGGGACAATTTATATAATTTAATAGGAAAGAAGAAG